TTTGCTTCACAACATATAAAGGAGAGAGAGAGAGAGAGAGAGAGAGAGAGAGAGAGAGAGAGAGAGAGAGATGAGTTTCACCATCCTCTCTATCCTCATCAGGATCAAGGCTGCAATGGTATTCGTCTAAGGAAGTTTCCCTCTACCACTCCAGCCTGCTATCCCACTAAGGACAAACATGACTGGGGAGTCAGCAGGCAGCTTGCTTCTGAGTGGTGTGGTACCTCTAAGCCATTCCAAGGTATTCCCAGGTGCACTCTTGGTCTGAATGAGCCCATCTTGCCGCCCTCTGCTGGCCACTCTGCAAATGTCCCCCTAGAGAACTGCCAGCCAGCCTCAGTTTGGTCCTCACTGGAGGTTGGTCAAAAGACTTCCCCTGAGTCCCTGCCAGAACATTCCTGCATCTCTCAAAACGTGTACTGAAAAGGGAAGGATTGGCTTTGTCATGCCAGGGGCACAGTGGCACAGTACATTGTCCTCTATAGCCTGACCTACCAAATTTACACAAAAGTATGCATGCTCTCTGCCCTATTGGGCAAAGAATTAGTAGATGGAAGACTTCTCTAAGATGAATACCATTGCACCCTTGGTCCTGATGAAGATGGAGAGGATGCTGAAGCATTGTGTGTGTGTGTGTGTGAGAGAGAGAGAGAGAGAGAGAGAGAGAGAGAGAGAGAGCATGCTGGGGGTCTCACCGCCTTCCTCTGGCTGAGCTAGAACTCCTTATGTAGACAATACTGAACTTGAACTATTAGAAATCTATGTGGTTCTGCCACCCAAGTGCTGGGATTAAAGGTGTATGCCATCATTCCTGGAAAATGCTGAAGCACTTTGGGCATGGAAGTTACTAAAATATACATGTACTTTGTTAGGATGAAACTCGAGGACCAACCAAGGAACAGAGGAGAGTCCTCAGGACAACAATGGGCATTTCCTGATTGGGGGTGGGGGAAATGGCATGATGTAGTCTGTCCTGGGTTCAGATCCCACCTTCCTACTTTTAGCCAGAGAATTGTACACATGTGAGTATTGACAGATTATCTAAGTGTGTCTTTTTTTCCCCATCTGCAAAATAGGATTAATGAAACTTACCTCAAAATGTTGGGAAGATTTCATGACAATAGCACATATTATCTGTATTAGCTGAACATTGATTATGTGAGACATTTTTAATTGTTGAAAGATTTGTTTTATATTTAATTATGTGGGTGGGCATGTGTCTGTGTGCAGGTATGTGCACATCAGTACAGGTGCCCATAGAGGCCAGAAGACGGTATCAGAGCCACTTGGGTTGGAGTTATAGGTGGTTATAAACTGTCCAATCTGGGTGCTTAATCCTTTAATCCCAGCACTTTAATCCCAGCACTCTGCAGACAGAGCTAGGGGATCTCTGTGAGTTCAAGGCCAGCCTTGTCTACAGAGCAAGTTTCAGGACAGCCAGAGCTACACAGAGAAACCTTATCTCAAGAAGGACAAAGAGGAGGAGGAAGAGGAGCAGGAGGAGGAGGAGGAGGAGGAGGAGGAGGAGGAGGAGGAGGAGGAGGAGGAGGAGGAGGAGGAGGAGGAGGAGGAGGAGGAGGAGGAGAAAGAGAAAAAAGAAGAAACTTGGGTCTTGTACAAGAGCAGTGTGTGCTCTTAATGACCGAGCCATCTCTCCAGCCTCTACTTTAAATTTTGTTGTGTTCACTTCATACATGAAAATGATTTGGGTTGGGGTGCATAACAAGTTACCTGGCTTTTGATGGTGATATTATTTACCTTTGCAAGAATGGCTCTTATTGTACAAAGGAAGAAACAGTGACTGTTTCCAACTAGCTTTTTGGACACTTGGCTAAAGCTGATTTCACCCAGCAAGTGACTGAAGGGCAGGGAGAAGAAGGAAAGGGAAAGACACGGATTGGTGGAGTGTGCCCAGCTGCTTTACACTCACGTCTCTCATCTTGACTCCTTCCCTGAATTCTGTGCCCAAAGCTGCAGTTGGATTCCACCAGACAACAGAAGCAAATGGTGGAGTGTGCCCAGCTGCTTTACACTCACGTCTCTCATCTTGACTCCATCCCTGAATTCTGTGCCCAAAGCTACAGTTGGATTCCACCAGACAACAGAAGCAAGGCTGGTCATCTAAGTTATCTCCACTGTCAACTTAGCACAGCTGAGTCATTTGAAAGAGTCTCAAATGCTGGGTTTGTCTAAATCACATTGGTTTATGGCCATGTCTGTGGGAAATTGTCTTGTCAGATAATTGAGGGGGACTGCCAGCCCACTGCCATGGGCATGTGAGCCCGTGCTGTATAAAAATGCTAGCTAAGCATGAGCAAGAAAGCCAGTAAGCAGGGTTCCTCCATGGCCTCTGCAACAGTTCCTTCTTCCAGGTTCCTGCCTCAGGATCCTGCCCTGTTTTCACTGGATGATGGAACAAAACCTGTAAGCCAAATAAACCCTTCCCCCTCCAAGTAGCTTATGGCCAGTGTTTTATCACAGCAACAGAAAGCAAACTAGACCCCCAACCTAATGAGTAGCCTGAAGTCAGAGACTAAGAGCAAAGTAGAAGGCCTTACCATTAATTGTCGGATCTCGATTTGGCCAACCTTAAGAAAGATGAAACTCAGTTTAGAAAAGGATCCACTGTTTAGAAATGGTCTCCTACAGGTTACAAAATTAGTCTCAACTGCACTGTACATTCTGGTTGGGGGGCCGGTTGATTTGTGGTTCAGTCTTGGCTATGTACACTGCCCAAGGTCTTGATTAAGATGACTTTTTGCAAAAATAGATAAAAGCAAGTGGGTTGGAGATAAAGTACACATCATTTCAGATATGATAAAGAAGAACAGGCCATAGTGGCACACTCCTGGAATCCCAGAACTCTGGACCTAGAGGTAAGAGGATCTGTAATTCAAGCATAGCCTTGCCTACACAGCAAGTATGAGATCAGTCTAGACTACATGGGCCTCAAAAATAAATAAATAGATAAATAAACAAGCAAAATATGTACATACTTTCCTGTTGTTTTGAAGTCTTGTCAAACTAATGACCCTATAACCTTGCTAATACTGAAGTCTTATTAGTCTTGGGCCAAGTAGGAGTTTTCCCAAAGTGTGAAGGAGGGCAGGTTATCCTTCCATATCCTCTGCCAAATCACAGATCCAAGAGTCACGCTGAGTGATTCAGATTCTCTAGAGGGAAGGACATCAATCCCAGGACCTGCACTCAGTACTCTATTAGATTCTGACACACACTGAAATTCAAGGCAGGGGCAAGGTCAGATTGAAGACTGTGACTGTATTACCACGTGACACTTTATGTTCTAGCTGGCAGAAGCTTCTGTTGTCATTACATGTCTAGATGGGACACAGAATATTTAATGAAGCCTTATATCATTTACTACCATTTAGTGAGGTGGTAATTATTATGACATAGGGGAAAAACTCTATCTGATACAGGTCCATCTTTTCAAAGTACTTACCAGGTGTGGTGTAGCTTGTTTTAGAAGCTGTAAGGGAATAAAAACAAATTCAGATGTATGTTTCACCCACAGGGATCCTGGAAAAACCTACCTGGGAAGCAATAGCACTGACTCTTGATCAACTAGGAACACATGAGGTCAAGTTTACCAACCCCTGAACAGAAAATTTTATACCTCTGCTGTGTGGGCTCCCCCAAACATCTAACATTGAGGTTCCATTTTCATTGGTCAAATGAGCAAAACAGTCTTAGTAGATTCCAGTCAGTACTCTGTATCCATGACTTCCTTCACAGATTACACAGGCAGTGGAGAAAAAGACAGGGGATAACACCTGCATCTGTACTAAGCACTCAGAGACGTTCACTCTTGTCCTCATCCCAGGAGCAATATGGCACAGCAATGACCTACACAGCCTTGATATTCTATCAGGTGCTGTATCTGGGGATACAGGCAGACATGTGTGGGTCACACACCAGTTTATATAAAGATTTGAGGATGAGGGGTGGGCATGAGCAAGGGAGTTTTAGAGTCATCCTCCTATGGAGACCAAGCGATAACTGCTCGGGAATGGTGAGGATATAGCTGATATTGTTCCTGGTTTAGCATATGTGTATATGTATATGCATTTATTATGGTAACAGCAAGGCTGCTCAGGTCTAGCAAGAGGCATGAGGTCTGGATGCTCATAGTTATATCCTCTGGCCTGCTTGTTGAAATACGTCCTTGTGAGCCAGGCACCCTATTAGGTTCTTGGTACATGTGCCAAGCTTGGCATTAAATGAGCAAGGTGTGTTCCCTTCCCTCCAGAGACTTCCAGCATAGTTAGGCATCTGAAGATATCAATAGACAGCCTTGTACAGGGGATGTGGTGGGAGAATATGAATAGCCACTGGATGGCGTACAGTGTATGTGTGTGCCTGTGTGTCATTGTCCATTTCTGTCTCTATGTGTCTGTCTAGGATTGTGCTTGTCAGTGTGTCGTGTGTGTGTGTGTGTGTGTGTGTGTGTGTGTGTGTGTGTGGTTTGTTTGGGTGATAGTGTGGTGTGTGTGTGTGTGTGTGTGTGTGTGTGTGTGTGTGTGTGTGTGTGTGTAACAATTTGTCTCTGTACCATGTCTGTGATATACTTGTTTGCATGTCAGAATATATGAGTATGTGCTTCTGTGTCCATGTCTGTATCTCTCTGTATGTATCTGTCCATGAAAGTATCTATGTATGTATGGGTTTATCTCTCTGTGGGTCTGTGTGTATTGTGTGTGCGTGTGTGTGTGTGTGTGTGTGTGTGTGTGTGTGTGTGCATGCACGCGTGTGTTTCTAAGTATATTGTATATAAATCAGGAAGGGTCTTCTAAAGGGGACAATGTCCCTGGTCTTTAGGAAGAGCAGTTACAATAAGCTAGTAAAGGAGAGGACAAAATAGACTGGCTCTAAAGACCAGAGCAGTGAGAGTGAGCTGACTGTGCCTACAGGTGGCGCTGTTGGGGTGTGTACTGTAGTAAGCATGGCTTTGTACAGTGAGTGAACTGCAGAGCCCTTTATGGTGAAGACAATAAATAAAACCAGGAGGTATACTGGGCACAGCTCACAGCTGCAATTCCGGCACTTGTGGGGCTGAGGCTGAGGAATTAGTACTTGACGGCCAGCAGCCAGGGTCAGGCAGATAGACATGTCTCAGTGAGACAAGCAATGTAGAAAACAGCAAGAACATGGAGGAGCTGAAATACAAAGAGATGTCAGCCTGCAGCGGCAGAGACACAAAGACACAGGAGACAGTGTGGGACCATGAGGTGCCAGCCTGCAGATGGAGTCAGTATCATGGTGAAACCTCAGGGCCCCCCAAGTTCAATAGCATTCAGCTGTGGGGTTCTATATGCCCAGTGGTGTGTTCATACAGCAATGATGACATTGAAAGGGGATAGCTGTGACATCCTCGGGGCCCATTATGTCAGCAACTCAGAGAAGCCTTCCCAATCAGCACCACTCTCAGTGCCTGGAAGGCCTCATTCAGATTCCCCCTGCCTTTCCAAGGAGGTAGGACACAACTTCAGTTACACTGTGGAATGGCTAAGTACAAATGAGGAATCTGCCAGGAATATATTCATAGGCAGCTCCCTCGTTCTATAAAACCTTGGCTGTGAAGAAATGGGAACAAAGGGGGTGAAATTAAAAAGGTGTTTTGTTTGTTTGCATGTTTGTTTTTGTTTTGTTTAAGCTAATTTTAGATTTAAAAGAACATAGCAACCATCCCATAGAGTTCCCATGGGCCACTTACTCCCTCCCCCTGCCCAACTATAGCAGCCTGCATCTCACAGTGCATTTGTCGCAACTGACAACCCAATGCGGTGCCCTCCTACTGACTCCTGGCTGAGTCTTATTTGGATTATTCTCCTCTTCTGGGAGACATCCCGAGTTCCACACTACCCTGAAGAAGTCACATTAGGACACAACATCAGGAAAATGACTAGAATAGAACACGGACCATTCTGAGGCTCATTCCACCCGATAGCCCTTCCTAAGTGACCTCATTCATTGACATCCCTTTGTATAACAAAGAACATTGCCCCATTTGCAAATGAATAAACTGAGGTCAATGCAGGAGTTAGGCTGTTGCACCACTGCTGTCCCAGTGGTGTTCTTGGCTCTGCCACTGAGCAGCAGAGGTGTCACAGCCTCTCTCTTGCCAGGCATGAGCTGTGCACTTGACTTTGTACAAAGACAGCCCTGAGATGACCCATGCACAGATTCAGCCCCCTCTGTTCCCTGCCTGGGCTGGAGGCCATGGCTTCACCCACCATAGCTGCTACTGCAGAGCCAACACAGCGGTTCTACTCCGGGTTCAAAGTCTAGCCCAGCTGCCAGATAGCTGATCTCCTGAGCCTTAGTGTCCCCAAGATGATGATGCCTAACTTTGGGGTGTCACCAGACTTGAACTGGAGAAGCTCGTGTAGAAGAGAGGCAGCTCCCCTCTGTATGCTGAAGCCACAAGCTTGCATGAACATGCAGGCATGCATGCACACATGCATGGCTGTACATAAGCATACATGTACGTTAAGATGGCAAACTCCCTCAGCCCCATAGTGCTAATGCCTTTGTTTCTTTGTGGCTAGGACAATGACGTTAGTTTTCTCTTCTCCAGGTCTGTGGTGATTCCAGGTCAGTGGGAAGGGACAGAGCCAGTCTGTTACCCTGAAAGCGTACCCTATCTCCCATTTCATACTCTCCAAGAAAACAGCCTGTCTAGTCCTAGACTGCCTCAGTCTAGAAGCTCTTGGTCAGTAGTACAAGCCTGAGGGTTTAGTCTTTGGATGGTGTTCTCATGAAAGCCATCCCCAAAGTGAGTCTTCATCTTCAGCAGACACTCACCCACTTACCGTTATGGAATTCATCTGGCTATCTAGCAAAAATATGAAATCTAGCCAAAGTGACACCAAAGGAGGGGAAAGGGGGAGGGTATGTGAAGAAGAAATAAAGGGGAGGAAGGGAAACCAGGAAGAATGGAGATAAAGGAGGGAAGGAAGGAAGAACTATGAGAAGATGAAAAGATAAGATAACCAGGAATAGGGAAGATAGGGGAGGAGAGAGAGACAGAGACAGAAAAGAGATATGGGCAGAGACAGACAGACAGAGAGGAGAGAGGAGAGAAGAGAGAGGGAGAGGGAGGGGGAGAGCGAGAGGGCGCGGGGGCAAGGGAAGAGAGAGAGAGAGAGAGAGAGAGAGAGAGAGAGAGAGAGACTGAGCAGGTAGGCTTGTCCTCTGTGAGATGACACAGATTCAACCATGCCAAGGACTAGCCATGTAAGTCTTCCTCGCTCATAATTTGACACTCTGAGAACATGAGACTGTGTTGGAGTGACTGAGTGCAAGTGACCATCACAGTGACACCATCCTGACTACCAGTCACTTGACCCAGCTTTGCTCAACAAATATTGGTCACAGAGCCAGACATGCAAGAGAGAAGGCACATGCAGAACGTTGACAGAGGACCGTCTCTCTCCATTTTCACAGCACACCATCTGTGTATTTAGCAAGGGCTAAGGCCCCTTCCTAATGCCATAAGCCTTTCCTGAGCCTGGGGACTGGTAAGCAGAGTCAGTCATTCCCTTCGTTGAACGACTCCCTGAAAGCATCAACAGAGCTGCTGCTTTTTCTCACTGTCACCATTTGTAACTCTCAGGCAGAAACAGAGCACTTCTTCTACATACTTGCAAGAATTTATACTTATTAGCAAATAACCTCCTTGAGATGGACAGTCACACAGCCATGGACAGATTCATCTAAGCCACCAGGACCTAGGTTTGCAGGAACGCAATTCATGAATATAAATAATGAGATAGAATACCTGTACAAAGAATTTGACCCCATAAAAGACATATTGCGAAGATGACCGTGGAGATCCCCATCGTGAAGGTTCCTCTCAATTTGAGCAGAAATTCCTTGATATTTATAAGCTCCTAGGTGGAAGGAGGTGTGCCCTCCTGGGTGATATATTTCTATTGCTGCTATAAATCCATATGAAGGAAGTGAGGAACTTGTTTTTAACTGCCTGGTTAATCCATGGGAACAAGGTTTTGTGTGTTTGATTGATTGTGGTATGAACAATCTGGCTATTGCCCAATGCAGAGGCCTGACTTCAGTGATAAAACTTCCTTCTAGGTGAGCATCAAAGATTCCCAATGGGTCCTTGAAAATGGCCTTGGTTTTCATCTTGGAGAGTCTGAAGGAAATTATGGGAAGCAGGATGTGGGCTGTTGGGCAAATAAAAGAAGTGGTGCCAAGGGAAAGGCGTGTGTTTGGGATGGTTTATCCTGGCAGGCTGTCCTCCTAGTTGGCTCTGGTGGGCATCACTAAGGCTCGGAGGACTAAGAATGCCCTTGCTTACTGACCAAAGAATGGAAGGCATGAGGGAGCATCCCACCCAGACCATGCACCCGTGCTAGCTTCCATCAGATGGGCCACCAAGAGCTGAGTCCCACCAATGCTATAGCCCAAAAGCTGAGAAATTCATGACCTCAGACTGAACCACCCCCAGCCTTCTCACCCAGCTTTGATTTCTTATCCTCAGCAATCACACTGTATGATGCTTGGGCCTTGACAATGGTACACAAATTGTCCCTTGTTTCTGTCTCTCTTTCACTCAATCCCCTTCTTCAGGTTTGTGATGTAAATGTCCCCCACTCTTTGGAACACCCCATTCTGCATCCCAGGATTCTTATAGACCCCCACACTCTGAAAAGGTTGCTTGGCATTTGTAAGATACTTTCTGTGGTATACAGTGGAAGCTGCTAGCTCAGCAGCATTGCCTGTTTTCTGGCCTGGTGAGTAGGGCCTTGCCTCCTAACATTCCCAGGGCACCTTGGCTCCTTCACTTTACACTGTTTCCCTGTGGTCTCTGTACTTGATTCTAGTGGGATGCTGTGATGTCACCTTTAGGAGCTGAGAGTCTGCGTCTAATTTCATCCAAAGGCAAGCCACATTTCAGGTTTCCAGACTTCTGTGCTGGCCAGAGTCTTCAGACAGTGGGGACACCTGTTTTAGGACAATCCTCATAAGGATAGCACTGCTACCCACATTATACTTTGAAATCAAACTCACCCCAGGACACTCAGATCTTGGAAATCCAACTGCACTAATTACACTGTTCAAATACTATTGGTACACCAGGAAATTTTAGTCGCTGACAATGGAGGTGTATTTTGGCTTTAAAATGAGTCTGCATGAGAGACTAAATTATATCCCAATAGTTTGTTTGGGAGCAAAGAATAAGAACAAGGAAACTGAATGGCATCCAAGGGCAACTCTTATCCAGATAAAGGAAATTGTCATGGACCTCCTCAGGCAGTTTCTTCACAAAGAACTGTTCTGGGCACCTCTAATTGCTTGGTGTCATAACTGCTCCTCCAAACCATGAACATATAGTCCTAGGTAAGTTGGAGACATGGGAGACTTGACGAGGTCACCTCCAAGCCAGACATGTATGAGCATGACCACAACCAGTTCAGTTCATCTAAGGATTCCTGTTGAATTCCAGTTGAGTAGAGAGTGACATTCATTGACCTTTGGGGAGAAATAAGAGGTGGGCCCATTTCCTCCATCAGAAGGCCTATGGGCCTGGGTGACTGACGTTGAGACAGTTGCATCCAGAAGGAATGCCCAGCTAGAGTATCTCCTCCTCCCTTCAGTCATCACCTGGACCTGTGAGGGAGAGATGAACAAGAAACAAAGATGCCACCAGAACCCATGACAGAATAAAACTACGGAAGTCACTGAGAGAGCATAACATGATCAAGTGAACCTCCAAGTCAGATCTATCCTAGAGTCCAAAACTCAGCTGCACAATTCTTGGAAGGTGGGAATGGTATGCATCAGGAGGCAAATGGCAAGGCAATGCTGGGTTGAAATTGATCAAGATTGACTGCAAGTCTGATGAACTAAGCTACCCCAAAAAGTAGATTGGTCTTAGGCCCTAAAAGAAGGAAGACCATTTCCCTCTGAATGAACTGCCCTGCCCTGCACATTTCTGCACTGAACGCCTGGCTTTCAAAGAGTGGGCTCTGGACCCTGCTAAGAGCTTGTAGAACAAAACCCAAGGCTTCCACATAGGGCTTGGTGATGTGTTACAACAGTCCATGCATGGGTCAGAACCTTACTCAACACAGAGACTATCTACACTGAAGAACACACAAGGAACCTTTTCAGTGTGCCAGGGGACACAGGGACAAAGGAGGCATGACTCTGAACTCCATGGACCAGGCAGTCAGTGACCACAGGAAACTCCACAGATGACAGTTATGTTGAAGAAATAGGCACATGGGACACACAGGAGCCAAGAATGACCCCCACAGCTGGATTTTGAGTCACTGACACCAACTAAAGATGCCACCTATATGATAGGGAACCCAGATGGAAGGTGGGAATTTGGAGAGCAAATATTCCCTGGGCCATGTCCCTTCCCTCAACTCTTCTTCCTCATTACAGTCCACCTAGTCTGCAGTTTCCATGACCTTCAATTGACCCAAAATCTCTCCTCCAGACCTGCTCTCAAGTCCTTTGCAACCTACATGCTACCTCCACCCTGTGAAACCTGTCCTGTAGATCTGACCAGAAGAGGAGGACCAGGGTCAAAGGTATACCAGAGCACTAACAAACAGCCGGTGGCAGCTAGGATTGGGCTACTCAGAAGGGGCCCAGACCTACTCAACTGTGATAGCTTCTAGGACAGTGGAGAAATCAATATCTGGTGATTTGTCTAGAAAGTGGAAGTAGAATGTTTGAAAACGCAGTGGGAAATAACATGAGTGGAACTGGGAGAAGGAGCTGGTGACAGGGCAGGTACTTGGGACAAGGGAAATAGAGTGAGGTATGGGGGCTTCTCCAGCTACACAGTGAAGCCAAGGAAGAGAGGGCAAGACTGCCTTATGGAAGTATGACTGAGGGTCAAAATTCAAGAAAGGAAAAGTCAGGGGCCACAGGAAGTCAGAGAGCAGGGGACTTCTACTGAGCCCCATGCTTCAGGGCCATGTGAACTTCCTTCTTCCTACTAGATTCCACAAACGTGCAAATATTCAAATAAATTCATTTCTGAGACCAACACAAGGATGCTAATTTATTTGGTAAGCAGACTTCTTTAAGGTCAGTTTTCATCCCCTCCATGTCATAAACCAATGGATATTTAAACAAAAAAGAGACAAGAATAAGCTCAGAGTAGAGGCCCAGCCTCGTGGACAAGTACCAGGCTCTGGTTTAACACAGCTAAATAGACATAGTCATAGTCACAGTCAACAAGGGTGGCCTTGTTGGAGATGAGTAGCATAGGCTATTCCAAAGGGCCATATCCCAGCCCAGAGCCAGACTCCTTCTGATCAGTTCACCCTGGTTCTGTACCTCCATGCATTCCCCTCCTAACCTTCCAAAACCCATCTGTGGGTACCTCAATGTATCTGCATAAAGACTGAACTCAGTGACTGCCCCAAGCAGAGGCCATATGCCCAGTCAGCCTGGACCAGTAGGAGCCCTACTGCTGATCCAAGGGTTGTGAATGCCAGAGCCCTTTTCCCTTGCATGGGTGAAACATTGGGTTAGGATCATTACATAGTCACTTGACCTAAGGCTGTTCTCAGTGCATGCCTAGGCCCTGTTGATCATCTCTGCCCCCTGGCTTCCATGGGACTGGCCCTCTGGTCTTCCTTTTCTTGAGATCTGGAAAAATGTTCTGCCCAGTTATTTCTCACCTTTGATAGAGGTTGTATGTTTCAAGTCTGGGAAGCCACACAGGTAGGTAGGACAAGAAGCAATGTGACCGAGGTTGGGAGAACAATACAGTAAATGCTGTGGTTGCTCAGAGGAAGACATGAGAGAAGCCAGGCCTGAACAGTCCTGGGGCTCAAGCCACATCAGAGCCCTACTGGGCTCTGGGTAGGGCCTCATCCCAAGCCATGATTTCTCTAGCTTTGCAGTGTCAAGCTTCTCTAAGGGTAGAGACAATGTTCTGAGCTGCTAGCTGAGTGTGTCATGTGAACAACACAAAGGATCCTATCTAAAAGGAAAACCCTAGAAATGGAGGGACCAGGATAGGGCTGTAGCTAGCAGAGTGTTCACTTAGCATATATGAAGCCCTGGGTTCCAGCCCAGAACATCATAAAACCAGATGTGGAGGTACAGGCCTGTAATCCCACACTTGAGGCAGGAGAATCATAAATACACTCAAGGTCATCCTTGACTACACAGCAAGTTCAAAGACATCTTGGGCTACATGAAAATCCTGTCCAGAAGAAAGGAAGGAAGGAGGGAAGGTGGTAGGAAGGGAGGGAGGAAGGAAGGAAGGAAGGAAGGAAGGAAGGAAGGAAGGAAGGAAGAAGCCCATGATCTATTGCCCACTTTGCCAAAGAGTCCCCCATAGTTCCAAATGATCTCAGGTGTGGCCCTGGGGACCCAGCAGCCACCACCAGGCCTCTCCACCCCAGATAATTGGTTCATGCAGAGTTTAAGGCAATAGCTCAGAAGCACTGATTTGCTCAACAACTACTACCATGTCCCCAGTCAGCTTTTGACCATGGGCTTGGCAGGTGGCATTGAAAAATACAAGAGAAACTGTCACTCCAAGGAACTTGGAACAAAAAGGGAGTTTTAAATGTGTATGGGGCAATGACGGATACACAACACTAAGCCAAGGCAAAGAAAATAAAAGTGCTATTGGTGTCACCAAGCTAAAGGGCATCAGAGCCATAATGGGATTCTTATGTGTTGCCAATGAAGGAGCAAACCGCAATGGATGGCCTCCACTGAGCTCACTGACACTTCGGTGAGTTCCTTGAATGGGGATATCACGTTGGGTTTATTTCCTCCTTCCTTATTACAGCCCCAGGCCAGAGAGCTACAGTCTCTCTCTCTCTCTCTCTCTCTG